GGTTATATTATCATACAACGTCAAGGTTGTCACCCGATCAACTCCCAATCAGGTGATGTTGTCGATAACCAGGACGGTATTAAAGTCTAGAGCCTATACTAACTGGGTGCTTGACATATCAGAGATAAACTGTACACGACTGTGTGCATGAGTGTGTGGGTGTGTGAGGGAGGGGGTTAATTGCTTTCTTTCGATTTTTACACTACTCGACATACTTCTTTGTGATCCCACATTATATTGATCAGTTTAAATATGAAATTTATTGAGTGTTATGCGATCACAATTCCTTCTTTTTATTTAAGTACAATTTCACGATCATCATTTTTTGTGATATTGTTAGCGTCTATTTTAAGGACACGATGATGATAACAGAGTGGTGAACAATGTTTTATCATTCTGGCGTCATTCTATATCATTAAATGACTAAAAGAAATAGTTGTCACCCGATCGACACACCCCAATCAGGTGATGTTGTCTATAGCCAGGACGGTATTAAAGTCTAGATACTGTACTAGCTGAGTGCTTGACATATGAGCACATACTGTACACGCCTCTCCCTCTCACTCTCTCTCTCTCTCTCTCTCTCTCTCACACACACACAAACACACACACACACACACACACACACAGAGGCAGACATACAAACAGAGAGAGAAAGAGAGAACTATAAATGTATTTGCCACGCTTCCAGGTGAGAAATCTGGGGCCAATTCCATAAAACCATTCTAAGCCCTAGTTGGTTGCTAAACTTCATTCTTTCTCTAGTTACCTACTAACTCTATTCCATAAAGCCATTCTAAGCCTAGTATAGTTCTAAGTTTCATGCTAAAGTTAGAGTAGGTCTGGGTCTTTTCTAAATCACTAGTATCATTCTAATTCATTTCTACCCACACCTCCGAGGTGTAAGGATGGCCAGGAGAATTTTATAAATAGTGGAACTCTGCAGAGCAATGCGGCGGGAACGAGTGTTTCGGGATAGAAGGAATCCGTTGGACATTTTTGATGATGTGGAACTTGTAAAAAGATATCGATAACTGACATTGTCAATAATGCCTTATTACCATGCCAGCAGGTAATGATAGCCCTGCAATACTATGCAACAGGCACATTCCAGTATGTTGTTGGGGACCCTTTGCAAGTGTCCCAGCAAACCGCTTGGCGTGCAATTCATCATGTATCAAATGCTCTTGCAGCAAGGATTGGGGATTATGTGGAATTTCCAAATGCACAAAATAAATAATAAATAAATAACACAATAAAGAGATTTTCTTGTGTTGAATAATTGGGCTTTTGTTGTCTCTTCCCTGAAGTTGCCATTTTGACCCCTTTCTGTATAGGGCTTTTATAGAATACATGGTAATGCCTTGACCAGTACTTCCCTCAGCCTGCAATCAGCTCAACTTTCACTGTCACTGCCTTTTGTTTGGCGTAACTGACCCTGTGGTTTTGTGGTTTTCCTATGAATACACCATTCTAGCCAAATCTTAGCAAGCAACTAGTAAGAATGATTCTTAGTTTGGTTTTATGGAATAGAAATTAGTTGATTGCTAACAAGTATACAACTAGGGATTTAGAATCATTCTAAGGCCTAGTATCGTGCTAAGTTAGAATGCTTTTATGGAATTGGCCCCTGATCTCTGTTATTTGCTAGAAGTAGTCTTTTCCCCAACACGGCTCTCTTACATGAAAAACTCATGTACGGAGTGCATTTAATTGAATAACTCGATGGAATCTTAAAATTTGACGTATCCAAATGATGAGGGTATTCTAACCTGTTATGACGCCTTAAAACCATTTTCCTGGAAATCTTATCCTAGGAACGTATATAAAGCGGTCTAAATTGTCCTTCAGGAGGTCAGAAGCCATAGGAAGCCCCTGGCGTTCAGTTCAAGCCTTAATGAACTGATTTGTGGTAATTTTTTTTTTTTAAGTTTACGTCTGGTTATTCATATAAATATAGTTCGTATCCATGGTCCCTTTGACCTCTCTTTTTCTCGAAAATATATATCTTCGAGAATAATCTGTTCGGGAAATGCAAGTGTAGCAGGGTTTGTGGGGAGGGGGGTGAGAATACGCAGTCTATTGTCTCAATGTGCATTATGAGTGGCAAACAAGCATTAGTGGGACATATTTTCTTCACCCATTTTCGGCGCTTCATTGTGTCTCTGTAACGTTAGTGTTGCGATAAATCCATTATTGCGGATTTTTACAGACGGTTAAATTTTAAACGCACAGAATGAAGTGTAGCTGCTTAATTTACGACAAAACTATAAAATATGTCATTCAATATCGATAATTGAGTTTTCGAGAACAAGAACATGAATAAGGTGTCACCGCGTTACCATGTGACACAGACAAAAAACGAAAGTTCAGACGAAGTCACCCTACGAATACCCTGAGTGACAGAGCAACGTAAAAGCTAGCATGTTAAATATACCTTGTGATGGAGTCGCTTTTACTAAACTCTGACGAACACCGACAATCTGAGGGCGTTCTTTTTCGAAATTTTGCCTGGGGCGCTTCCATATTTGGAAGTCACACGTCACAGCTGTGTCCGCCTGGATCCATATTTGGAAGTCATAAGTCTCGTACGTCACAGGTTTGGCCGCCTGGAGCTGCCTTCCCCAGCCTTGAGCTGACGCTATCTCGTACAGACGAGACAAGAAGCATTTGAAGTGGCTGACGCAAAGTTAGAAGTTTGAAATGAAAAGATCTTACCTACTAATCGAATGGTAAGAATCAATCAAAACACATATATATGTTGAAGGAATTGAAGAAAAATGAAACGAAACTCAGTATTTCTCACCTTCATCAGGCCCGTAGCCTGAGCAAAATGCCGGGGGGGGGGGGGGGGGGGGGGGGGGGGGGGACAAGGGGGGCCACCCCCCCGGGGGGGGGGGGGGGGGGGGGGGGTCCCCCCCCCCCGGGGGGGGGGAAAATTTTTAAAAAA